AGACTATGTTACCACTGAACTTTGAAATTATTCATACTGTAGCTCAGAGATACCATCGTTAACCAAAACCACACAGTTATGAAGAGGCTGCTGTGTGTCAGTTACAGAACTCTATACTGGATACTCACGGGTGAAGAAAGGATCTCTACTCTGAATGTATACATACTCAATTCTTAGCTCTCCAAATTTTTGGTCTTGTCCCTAACAATAAACATTTTTGAGCCCAAAATCTCTACTATATGAATACTAATTTATGTCATATATATCTACTATTTTACTGTATTTATTGTAGTTTTATATTTATTATAAACCACTCACAAAATATATTTAAAGGAATGAAATTAAAATATTTTGAGATAATATTCATTTATATATTAATAACACAGACTTTATCAATTTAGGTCTGATTGTAAGTTCAGTTTATTTCAATACTTGCTTTCAAATAATAATCACACCACACATAGGCACAATATACATAAAATGCTACATATTAGGGCCAGGTTTGTTATGTTATGTGTAAATCCCTATTTTAGTATTGTTCCCAGTGACTATTTGTGATCTACTGTTTTTAGATCAGATTAAATCATCCTTGCATTTCATATTGTGCTTGAAAAAGAACTCATTTTAGGAGTTGAAGACAGAGTTTCCATACTCTATATTTATTTAATATACTCACATATGTGTACATGTTTTTTTGTTTATGCGGTACACGGGCCTCTCACTGTTGTGGCCTCTCCCATTAAGGAGCACAGGCTCCGGACGCGCAGGCTCAGCTGCCATGGCTCACGGGCCCGGCCGCTCTGCGGCATGTGGGATCTTCCCGGACCGGGGCACGAACCCATGTCCCCTGCATCGGCAGGCGGACTCTCAACCACTGCGCCACCAGGGAAGCCCTGCGTACATGTATTTTAAGTTTCCAATTCTAAATTGTTTGTCTGTCTTGAATTAAGACTATGCATTCTTTGTCTATACGTAGATCAAATGGTTATCTGCAAAAATACAGCCTAATGGAAACAATTTAAAGGAGTCAAATCTCAAAAGTTCATGTTATAGGGATACTGCCCTTATTAAACTTTTCGGCATCAAAATTAAATTATTGATATGTAATCTTCGAAAAAAGGATTTGTTCTTTTGGGGATATGTGTATGTATGTGGGGGAGGGGTAGTTCTTCATTAGAAAATTTAATTAATCTTTATTTCTGTTTCCCATCTAAAGAGGTTTCTTTTTTAAAAACATTAGGGCTAATAGTATTGTCTTATATTTATGATAATTTACTCACATTTAAACCTCACAAACAGCCCCGTTATGTAGGGTCAGTTATTTTCATTTCACAGAGGAGAAAGCTGAGGCACAAAGAGTTTAAGGTCATAGTTTGTTATCTTTTACACAAATTCTTAATGATATCTAATTTCTAATATAAAGTTATTTCAGAGAAATTGCTGCAATATCAAATGAAAAATGGGATTGTTTTTCATTGAGTTTGTACTAAATATATTTTATTATAATTCTTTGAAAACTGCTAACTCTACAGGCAAGATCATTCTCAGATGATCTGAGTGATCAGTCCTCCATTAACTAATGTCAGAATACAGGCTACACCAACTTCTTCACACTGTTTCTTTACCTCATTATATGACCTATTCATTAGCAACCATTTTTTTAGGATTCTTTATTCTCGGACAGTGTTTTTCAGTGGGTGCTACCAGCATTTTGAGAGAGAATTCCCATTTGTGCAGGCAGGATACCACTTACTGCAATGCCTTCAGCATGCATCCTGACCCCCACTGGTGTTTACCAGTGATGTCTTCCCACAGTCATAATGTGCAAGGCTCCCTAAATGCATTGAGAACCACTGAGTTAATGAAAGACATAAATCACCAACCCCTGCAGCCAGTGACTTATGTTAATCTTACCTTATATCAGTAGTTAATAGTGTCTTTTATCCATCTGATATCCATAAGTGTTTGAAATTATATTAGAGTAGGGTTACCAGGTTTAGCAAGTAAAAATACAGAACACCTAGTGATCTGGTAACTCTATATTACAGACAGTATAATGCTAATGTCACATGTTGGTCTCTCTTTAACCCGCAACTCAAGATCACTAACAAATTGGAAACTCAAGAATTTGAGATTTAGAAAAGCATGTATGAAGTGACACATTTTACATTTCAAACTTGTAATGGCTAGAGGAATACTCTCATCACATAAAAATCTAATTTGTATTAACAAATACTTAGGCTATTGAAAGTAACTAAAATCAAAATACTCGTGGAAATTTATATTTCTCCTGGTATAGATAGTAGACGTTGTTTATTATTAAGCTACAATGTAATTGATTAATAAATTCCACCATTACTTAAAAAAAATCCAGTCAGATGGGGTCAGCAACTTAAGAAATAGAGCAAATCAGACTAAAATTATTTCATATCAAATTCCAAAAGGTTTATGAACTTAATTTCTTGCAAATTAAGAGATAAGGGAATTATAACAAAGAATAACTTCAGTTTTGCTGATTGAACTGTGAAAATGTAGAGCTGTAGTGTTTCCTGCAATCTCTATCGACATGGCTGACCTTAAGAAGAAAACTGTTAAGGCGTTATTATCACACAATGTGATACCTCAATGGAATATATATTCATGCACACCACCTTTTCTCTTTGTTTCAGATATAAAAAATGACAGTTACTTAAGGAAGAGATGCCACAATAAATGAAAGACCTTTTAACCCACAGTAAGGAAACATAACAAAGCCATTATGAATGATGCAGCAAGTTTAGGAAAATGAAAGCTGCTATTAAAGATGACAGGCCGTCACAACAACAAAAGTAGTAATCAGTGTAATTGTAGCAATAAAATAATATTTGTATTTAGTTTCTTTCAAGGAGTTAAAATAATGGACATCTTTTCTAAGTTAACAGTTTGGAATAATGTTGGCAAAAATAGCAAAAACTCAGATAAAAAGCTCTAAATGTGAAGCAGATGAACATTATCCAGAGTCACTGTTCTACATGCTTTTGTTTTCCTTCAGATTTCCTTTAAGATAATTACATTTATGTCTCTTTTACTTTCCTCTTCATGACGATGATATTCTTTTTCTTTATGATCTAGTGTTCTTGAACCAGGCTTCTGATTACTTGACTTCAATAAATCCACAGCTAAAATTGGGTCATTTTTGTTTTTCACAGCATGTAATAAAATCTGAATTTCTTGTAATTATTTTCCCTGTTGTAAAATCCCCATTTCTTTTGTAACTTTAAATAAGAATGCTTTATAAATATATAATTATCTCCACGTGGTATTCAGTGAAGCTCCTTACATTAATGAGTGTTTTCGCAGATGATGATGAAACATTGCAGTGCGGGAAATGCCTTGCGTGGGCAACACCGCACACAGGCTTATGTTAACTTTATGCTCGGTGATAAATATCCCAAATAGTAACAAAAGAGTAATTAATTTCACTGTTCATGGAAAGTTACCTCAGAGCACTTTCTGGCTTACATTTGGCATTTTTGCCACACCTCTGAATGTTTAAGGGACTCCAGCTCTGCTGGGCCATTTTACTAAAGCCCCGTAAAATACACAACAAAACCAGTTTATGCACAGTATAAGACACTCTTTCTATGCTTTCTTTAATCCAGTGCACAATAGATAGGCCTCACCCATGAAAACATTCATTGTAACTTTGCTCTTTCATAAAAACATCTCTAAAGATCTAATAAATGCTGCTTTTTCTTTAGCAACAACTTTCTCCATAGAAGCAAGATATAGACAGTATGGTATACCACATCCCTTTAGTCCTGGTCAAAGTTCAAAGACAAATCAAATCTTAACTTATTTTAGGTGCAAAATTTGTGTCAAAGAACAGAGCAAAGTCTTTTCAAAAATACAGGACTTGCTAAATTTGAACTGGGTCTCTACATATGAAAACTGCTGTGCCTGATGGGGGTTTCAGAGGTCTCGAATGAGACGCATTTCTTACAACTATCAGTGTAACTTGCTTTGAGGGTATTACTGTGATTTAAACTCAGATATACTATATCAATTACCAGTGCTGCCCATGCACTAATATTGCATGTATATTACATTTTCTTCTGAATGATTTTAGTAGCTTTCAGGTCACTGAGACACCGAAATGTAATGCCGCTATTCCAAAGTGCTAAGTTTCTAACTCGTATTCAGGGGATCTCAATCTCCCATATAGGAAATGACTCATTTATTTTTAATCTATAGTGGAAAGACTTTGTACTGGGAGTCCACCAGCCATGTGATATCACTTCCCCGACTCAGTTTGCTGGTCTCAAAAAAACCAGATTTTTTTGACTGGATGATCTCTAAAGTCCTTTTCAGCTCTGATATTCTTTTATTCTGTGATTCATTATATTATTTTATGGATAAGCATCCAAGTAGTTTACTTTTTTTTTTTTTGCTTCTCTCTCAATAGCCTTCTTAAAAATGAAAAAGCACGTGGTTCTACCTTTGCAAACTCTCATGTCTTGTCCCTAATAGAAAAGTGAAGCAAATTAAGAAATGTGTATGTTGTTTTTCTTACCACTATTTCAAAAACGTGTAATTACTGTGTGGCATAGAAGCTTTCCTCATTTTAAGCTCTCTTACTGATACACCTAAAGTAAATCACTGCTTCTTCTAGTGCAGTACAAATCCCAGATCCTATCGTGGCTATTTTCTGGGTATCTTTAGCTCATGTAGAGATGAATTCTGTATATATTCTGTCAAATGTAGATTTAGAAATTTCATCTTAGCATTCTGATGCTTCTAAACCCTCTTTAATTGTAACTAGTTAAGAGTAACTTTCTTTTCAAAAAACTAGGTTTATTTCTTAAATTTGTGAATAAAAATGCATTCCATTCCTTTTAATTTCATAGCTTCCTCGTAAGGTTTGATTTCTTTGTTGATTATAGGTTTGTTCCAATTAAATGATCAACAACTTTTCCACAAAGAATACTTTTTGATTAATGTCAATTTTTATCTCTTAAAAGGATCCTTCCCGGCCATTGGGGTGGAAACGTTTTGCCCCAGCTTCCTGAGGGCAGGGTTTTTAAATAGCCTCCAGGCCCCGCATCCAGTGCCAGGGAGAGGATCCTTGCCCCCCAGGATTCCTGCTGGTAGGTATTTCAGGTGAATTTTTCTGCCACCATATACAGCAGTAGGACTGTGCTTGCAATTGACAGAACAATACAGAAATAAATATTTCTAAAATATATTGTTGAACAGAAATGCAAGTGACTTTTTAAAATGCAGGAACCACATTTGTGATACCTAATGCTCTGAAAATAATATAAAGGAAGTAGAAGAAGGATCTGTAAACTGAGTACCCAATCAGCATAGTGCTGCCTCTTCTAGGAAAGTTTTGTCATAAATAAAAACTAGAGACCAGGTCCCAAATTTGTAACTCAAGAATAAAACAGGGATGAATTTAAGCCACTTTACCACTTGGAACTGGCTAGAAAAAAGAATTTAAAACTGAGTGTTATTAACTGAAAAAGTAATTTTATATCTGAGTAAGTTTACAGAGATTTAAAGTTCCATTTCACTAAAGAAAAATTATTTGAAAAAAGGCCAGAAAGTAGCAAATTTGGAAGAAATTTTTGAGAAAGAAAATTAACATGCAGTTTTCCCTAAAAATATCAATCTGACCAAAGCCATATTTTATCAATGAGGAAAAACACAATAAAGGATATTGAGCATTTTAAAATGAAATTGCAAAGTTTAGTAAATCACTTTGTATATTATTCTTGGTATGATTATAATCATAAATTATTTTACTCTTGTCATTTTGTAAATATCCAGCTGTCTTCCTCCCTGGTACCTGAGGCATGCAAATCCAGTTTATATTTTATATGTGTTTAGCAAGATGGAATTAGGATATTGATTCTTGGAGTTTTGATCATAATTCTTGTGTTTCTTATCACAGTTAAATACTTATGCTACAAATTGTGGTAATGACACCAATATTTTCAGGAGGGCTGGCCCAGACAGCAGAATAATGGAAACATTTGAAAAACTAAGGAATACAATGGAAACAAAATCCCATCATGCACATTTCTTGTTTTTCTTAGAAAAATTATGCCATCAAAGCCTAAAATTATTACACTGACATTTTTTCTTTTGCCTTTCAGTTACCCTTGCTTACTTAGTTATAACATACAAAAAGTAACAACCATAAATATGCTTTAGCGTCATTTGGTTTTATCGTTGGATAATTACTAAAGTGGTTGCAGACTTTGTAGCCAGCAATGCCACTGATAAGTAGGAACCAAAATTATATGAAAGAAAAACTAGCAATTTTAATTCTAATGAGTGTTATGCCACCTTTTTTCTCCCTAGGAGAAAAAAAATGGTATCAGTTGCACACGAATTTTATTGTTGGTGGTAGTAGTGATGGTCGTGTTGCAAAAAAATGGAAATAAAAATCTATATAAACTGAGCTCTCAGAGTTAACTGCAAATATAAAAATATAGCATTCATGTCTATTAATATTTCAGTGACTGGAATTGAAGAGATGAACAGACGATTTGTAGTTTAATGACAAATCTTGGTAGATTTAGGTATATTTGGCAGAAATGACATTACAAATCAGTAGTGACTTGAATTATTCAACATCACTGGTAAAAATGACAGCCCTTGTCATTTAGCCACTGAGCCTGATAGAAGTAAGATGGTGTTTCTATAACACAGACACAAAACAACTTTCCCGAGAGGGATCTAAAAGAACATCTAGCGCCCTCTTCTTCTAGGCTTTAAGCCAGATTTGCCTCCAACCTTCATGGGAAAGAAAACCCAGTTCAGTTTCCATGACTTAAATACAAATCAGGTGTAAAGCAATTGCTTCATAAAAAATGTATAGATCTAAACTTGTTCCCTCAAACTGAAATTAACTCAACTCACTTTTTCTGACTTATATCACTTTGATAAGTGATCCCTGTACACTTTCTCTGGTACTTTTCAGTAATCACTGCTATGATTTCTAAGGTGATTTTTATCCTCTTCCATTCAACTATAGCTTATTTCCCAAGAATTCTCTTTATATTTTGTATGAAGAGGAATGAAGCAATGATATGAGAAGTTTTTATTATTTCATATTAAAAAAAAAAGAACCCTAAAGTATTTCTTTGCCACCTAATAGCTGAGTGACTCTTCAGGTTTAGGACATCAATTTGAGAGCAGAAAGCACTTCCTTCCTTGACCTGTATCATGGTACCTTAAAAAGCTGGCCAAAGGTTGATGCCTACTGGGCAGAAATTAATTTGCTTTCTACCAATTGTTTATATGTTACAGTACTTTTAGGGTCTCATAAGACATTTGCTATGTCATTCAAGGAATCACAAAATCTGTTCTAATGATGGTGCTAATTTAGTTCCCAGTTACTTCCTTAATCAAATTTAAATGAGATACATGATTATGTCTTATATAAAATAGTTTCTTTGCATTCATGTCACACTGTGCTATCAAGGAGCAATATTTTTGCAGTATGTATTTTTACACTAACTGCAATAATAAGAGAATCACTGAATCATGAGAACCAGAAAGCAGACAAGCCTGAAATCAGTATTTATGTAATGGTTGTCAATATTTATATGACCTTTTACATTTCTAGAAAGGTCATAGTAAAGGGTTATTATTCTTAGTTTCAAATAGAGAAAAATACCAGGAAGTAATTGGCTGAAAGTTGAATAGCAAGTATATTCATATATTTATTGCAATGCTTTTCAAATAGTAGTCATCCAATGTAGGAAAATCTTGGGAGAGAGAAGGCAGGAAGAGTGGGGAGAGGAGCTGAGAGAAGCAAAGAGGATGGAGAAAGAAAGGAGAAATTAGAAAGACATAAGTGAAATTATATTTTTTGAATCAAACTCTTCTCCATTGTATTCTTCCCTATTAAATTCTACCTCCTTGAAAAGAATTAATGTCCCTCTTGGAAATATGTTATCAGGTACATACCCTAAAATAAGCTTGCTCTCTTTGCTCCATCTAGTTATTTCTTTGATTTATTTCTATAATCAAAGAGTATTTGAAAGTGGGTAGAACATTTTATATGCCATAGAGTATTGATTATACATAGGGTCTTAGACTGATGACTTATCTTATGACACCTTTGCCTTTACACATTTAGTGGCTTATATGCTTACCCTAAACAAAGAAAATCAGAGTAATAAAGGCATTGAGAAACAATTATGCACTGATAATGATGGTGTAATAATATATGGAAGTTGCACTGGTCCAGTCTTCCCTGTTACTTCACAGCAATAACTATCTGACATCATGTGATATCTTACATTTACATAAGATCCAAACATTACAATGTGTCTTGAAAACTAGACTTATTTATAAAATATAAAGGCATATTCATTATACTCAGAAAGTAACATCTTAGGATGAGTATGATTAGATCAAAAATTCTACCTTACATTTTTCTAGCAGTTTTCTGTCAGTTGTGGAAGACTTCATAATATTTTTCATTACTGAAGTAATTCATATGTATAGATTAGATTCTAGGCCAAACTCAGATATATGCCTTAAACTAAGAAGCTTTTTCAGTTATAAGCAAAGCCTACAAAGGAGAAAACATAGGAAACAGGCAGCATGTGGGATATAGAAACAGATAAATTCTAAAAATAAAAATCAGTGTTGAAGGTCTTCCTAATACTTCCTTTGTGGTTAGTCTTGGAAGCTCTTTAATTGTTGAGGGGATGTTCTTCTGAAACACCATCTTGGTTTGTCTACCTATGCTTTAAATATAATGCTATATATAAAACACCTCTTTTGACATTTTTACCTGAGCTGCTCTCTGTTGCATGCCATGTGTTAGGTTCAAGGTAAATGGCAAAGATGGGGTAAATAGCTCTCTTCACCTTCTTGCTTTGTCAATTTTGTGAGACTTCCTCACTGCTTAGTCTGAATCAGTTTAAAAATAAATGTGAACACATGGGGACTCAAAAATCAGATTTGCAATTACTAGGTATATGATTATTTAATAGTCATGTTTAATATTGTTTATTTATTTTTACCTTAGCAAAGAGATTTGAATGAGCCTTATACTCAAGTAGCCAGACTTTTTCATATCCTCACTACTGTCCCCCTGACTAGTAATGTTAAGATATGAATTCACAATCCAGTTTTCTATAAACCAGTAACAGATCCAACTAGGCCATTTCTATAGCAAAGGAGTTACAGTGCTAAGCCAATATTAAAATGTCTTCAAAGTCTATTAACAATGATTATCAGTATTTTCCTTTCCATATTTCATGTGAAATCCTATCTGATATGGAGTCTGGGCAAATATTGCATGCACTATTATCCAGTCAAAAAATTTTTTTATTGAGAAGGCATATAGTTTAGATATTAGAAATAAGCCAGGAAAAATAAATAAGGTTGAAGCTGCAGAGAATCTAGGATCTAGTGAGCATAATATTATCATATCTTGATGCATATAGAGGACTGCAGAAAAGCAATAATGCAAATACATTAGATAGCTAGTGGGAAGCAGCCGCATAGCACAGGGAGATCAGCTCGGTGCTTTGTGACCGCCTGGAGGGGTAGGATAGGGAGGGTGGGAGGGAGGGAGACGCAAGAGGGAAGAGATATGGGAACATATGTATACGTATAGCTGGTTCACTTTGTTATAAAGCAGAAACTAACACACCGTTGTAAAGCAATTATACTCCAATAAAGATGTAAAAAAAATAAATAAGTAAAAAGACTGGATGGCAGACTTTGAAGGAATATACAATGAGTTAAGGAAAACTCACATGAACTCAGTTTGCCAAGGGAAATCAGTGGAAAAGTATATACCTTTTAAATACAATCAAACTGCAGTTCAGAAAAATCAAAGTAAACCATTTCATTTCTTTGTATGTTCAGATATCCTAAAAGAAAAGTCAGTAACTTTGTTTTCAATCGACAATTTCAAACAATTGAAAACAATTGTTTTCAATCGACAATCAAAATTAATCACTTTTGACAGCATTTCTGCTTGCTAAAGTTCTCCTGAGGATAATTATTCTTTTTAGATTTTTCTGTAGTATATATGGCAATTTGCTTTATTTTATCTTTAACAAATACTGTTGTAATAAATATACATAAAAGATAAGATTTTGGTTTACTT